ATATATACATATATACATATATACATATATACATATATACATATATACATACATATATACATATATACATATATACATATATACATATATACATATATACATATATACATATATACATATACACATACACACACACATATATATATATATATATATATATATGTATATATATATATATGTATATATATATGTATATAGTAAAGATCCAAAAACAGTTGCAGAAGATTTCAACCTTTTTTTTACTTCTGTGGGACGGAACGCTGCTGCGACAGCCGAAAGTTTAGCCAAAGACAACAATGTTGCACTGTCAAATCCTCTGTCAAATGTAATCACTTATCCATCTGATCAACTGTTCAATTTCCAATCCGTTACTTGTACAGAGGTTCAACGCATTATCATGGCTATGCCAAGTAATAAGTCACCAGGACCAGATAAAATAGGCATGCGTGTCATCAAAGACTGTCTTCCAATCATACTGGGTCCTCTTATGCATATGATAAATTGCTCTCTAATGACAAGCACATTCCCTGACCTATGGAAGATTTCTGAAGTTATACCCCCACTAAAAGAAGGAGACCACGAGATAGCCTCAAACAATCGGCCTCTCTCACTACTCGAGGTAGTTTTAAAAGTTTGTGAAAAAGTTGTTCTAAATCAATTTAGCTCCTACCTCAAAGAATTTAATCGCATATCGTCACATCAAAGCGGGAATAGGAGTCTTCACTCCACCGAAACCTTAAACATATTTGTTACCGGTACGATGTTGGAAGCCATAGACAACAAAAATCTAACGGCACTAATTTTATTGGATTTATCCAAGGCATTTGACAGTGTCAGTCATTCGATTTTATTACACAAATTGAGTTGTATCGGTGCTTCACCCGAACCTGTTAAATGGTTCCAAGACTATTTAACAGGCAGATCCCAATACGTGCGCATTGGATCCACCAAGTCATCAGCTCGCCCGATAACCCATGGCGTTCCACAAGGTGCAATACTATCACCACTTCTGTTTTGCATCTATATTAATGATCTGCCAGGGAGCATACAATCGTGTAACCTTGATTCATACGTAGACGACTCAAAGCTTTACAAATCATTCTGCATCTACGACTTGGAACAGACAACTATCAATTTAGAGGCAGATCTACAAATAGCAGCCAAGTGGTGTTTGGAGCACCAATTACTGATCAATCCAGAAAAAACTAAATTCCTTGTAGTCGGTTCAAGACCCATGCTGCAGAACGTACCTACAGAAATATCGCTAACATTTTTAGGAAAGACTATAAGACCTGTTTTATTAGCTAAAGATTTGGGAATCAATTTGGATTCGTACCTATCCTACGACGACCACATATCTAAACTCGTTTCGTCGTGTATGAGAAAACTATGTCAAATAAATCGCGTGAAGGATAGTTTCGATAATGAAACATTAAAATTGGTCATTGAGACACTTGTAATTAACAAGCTTCTGTACTGCTCTACGGTGTGGTCCAACACGTCATCTAACAATATCAATAAACTTCAATCAGTGCAGAACTTCGCGTGCAGAGTTATATCAGAGGTAGGAAAGTTCGATCACATAACTCCGGCGTTGCGCGAACTAAATTGGTTGCCAGTGGAAAAGTTATTATTGGAAAGGGATACTGTAATGGCTTACAAGTGTTTTAATGGACTTGCACCTGACTACCTAGTAGATAGATTTATAAAGCGTTCCGACATACATGATCGATCGACAAGAAATCATGACCTCTTGGACATCCCTCTGTATAAATCTGCTGCAGGTCAAAGAACATTTAATTACCGGGGTGTTAAAATATGGAATGACTTGGATGACAAACTAAAAAATATTACATCAATAACAATTTTTAAGAAAAAACTTAGGGAGATTTTACTAAAAGAATCCTATTAAATACATTTAATATTTCATACTCTTTGTACATATTTTAACTAATTTTAAATAAGTATATGTAACATAGGTAGTTTTAGAAGTAATTTATAGTAATTTTAATATGTAATGTAGTGTTGAAAAGCCCTTAGGGGAACATGCAATAAAGTATCTATCTATCTATCTATCTATACATATATATATATATGTATGTATGTATGTCCTAAATGGAATGTAAACAAGATCACATAAAAGGAGCTTACCAAGTGTTTTAATTTTTAACTTAAACTTTGTGCACAATTGGTAGCATATATTTAATACAGTCTGTAAAATTGATAACATATTTTATGCTATAAGCACAACTTGGTGTTTTAACACTCTTTTATTAAATTTTATGAAATTTTGTGTACAAATACATGTACAATTGTGATATGCTTAATGCACTTTTGTGTAAAATTGTTGATGCATTTTTTGCTTTAATAAACTATTTATTCAACAAATGGTTGTCCACTTTTGCATATATTTCTATATGTAACCACAATTGTAGTATTAAAGGAACGCAGTCTCAATTTGAGCGATGTTATTTAGCACGATATGTTTACATTCAAACTTGAATTAGTTCTGGACAGAACTCAAAGAATGGCCAATATGACACTAAAATAATATCGCTCAGACAGTAACTGTACGCCTTTAACCACATGACGTTTGTACAGAATATTGTGGTCTAATTCAGTTATATTAGAGGCCGACATTTACACTGGTAAATTTGGACTAATTTATGTCACCTGATCGATCCGGTTACAGCAAGCCAGTGAGGAAGATGAAAATTTGTGATAGTTAATTTGTTATCTCCCACTTGACAAGCAAAATCACCTGACCGTGTTAATCAGAGTAAAATAAAGAGGTGCACATCATAGCTGAATGTTAATTAAAATCCTATACGAAAACATGATGGGACACAAAGCTACAGTCTTGGCCAAAAGTTCATAAACGACAAAACAAATTCGCAACTTTTTCATATACTTGGGTTTTAAAATCATTTTGCACCTCCCCCCGCTTTCCCCATTCAATGTTGGTCTCCCACATATCTAATACACATACAATTTTGTTGTACAGTAGGTCAGATCATAAATATACACGAAACGGCAACATTGAATGGGGGGGGGAGGCCTTAAAAATGCATAAAAATTTATCGTCGTCCTACAGTTGATGGCCAAGATTGTCTGAAAATTGCTACATGTTCATTTCCACGAAAAATGCATTCAACCTTGTACAAGACACTTGCAGTAATTTATTCTGCATAAAAATATCAAAGATGATTGGTATAATATGGGTTGGCATATATTATTTACATCTTTAGTTAAGGTGGCTCTGCTAAGCTGCTCAAATTATATTTGCTTTCAGGTTACATATAAGACAACCATACCATGGTCTTACTCTGGTAGAAGTTGTACAATCAAAGTTCAATCGCTTTTGTATAAATGAGACCATACTCCAATGAAATATCTGTTTTTAAATATATATTCCAGTTATTCTTAAAAGAAAGCAATCTATACGATATTAGATTGAAATTAAGCCAATGTGTTTAGATAATTGAGAATTATTGTGCAAGTAATGTAAAGAGAAATTTTCTACTTCATTTTACACAACAAAGAGTAATTGCAAGAACTTATTGCGATATAATAATATGCTGCAAATCAATATGTAATTGTCAGACGCGCGGGCCGCCAGGCTTTCTGTATCGTGATACTCAGTACTCAGTGACAGTACTCAGTGAAACAAGACCTAAGCGAACATATATCATTTCACTGTCTGAAATAAAATGTTTTTAAATGTTGGCATAAGTGTCGCAATTCTGTTTGTTGGTATTTTGTAGGAAAATTCGGGCTTTGGAAAGGACAATCACAGTACTCCCCATAACATGAGTTAAGACAATGTCTATATCTCATATTAAGTTTGGAGGTTTTAATGAGTACTGTCAAGTATTGTTTCAAATCTACAATTTGTTTTACCCATTTGCCATGAGATTGTAAGGACAGTAACAATGAACAAAATGTTGTGTATATTTTATGTATTTATTTACAATCTGACGAAAAATTAAGCAATTACTGTGAGTACTGTTCAAAAGTACTGTCAGTTAGTTATTAAGCTGCTAGAGTTCATTTATATATATATATAGAGAGATTAATATTTTGTCCGATACGGCACCAAACTTAATTATTAGGTCAACACGTTTTGGCAAACTTGCGATTGTTTTATCAATGACATCATAAGGACGACCCATGCCTCTACAACGGCATCAGCAAAGCTCTTTTTATGGGAAATTTCTGAGTGTCCACTCTGCTGTACGTGGCTATATACACAATATATATATGCAATATATTCCTCATATCTATAATTATGATATGTTGGATCTTACGCAGCAAAATTAATTAAAAATTCTATTTGTCAATTGGCATGTGTAGCTTTAACTGAAAATATGTATACTAAAATTATCCATAATTACGTTGTATCAGTCTGCCTTTATAACATTACTGTCCGGTTCAAAATGGACATATATGCTATTTGAAGAGAAGATTATGGCCCTACCCAGAAATCCAGTATCAAATTACAGTATACAATATTTATTAATATCTACCTATCGTACAATATTTATTAATATCTACCTATCGTTCAATATTTAGGAATACCAGAATGACTTTTGAAGTGTTATCCAGTAATACAAGAACATAAGTACATTTTTTTAATATTTCTACAACTGGTTTTCTAAATTTAGTACATATACATGTCAAGGATTAAAAACATAATTTTTGGACAATCTTGGCCAAAAGTTCGTAGAATGACAAAACAAATTCGCAACTTTTTAATATACTTGGGTTTTAAAATCATTTTTCACCTCCCCCCATTCAATGTTGCTCTCCCACATATCTAATACATGTACAATTTTGTTGTACAGTTGGTCAGATCATAAATATACACGAAACGGCAACATTGAATGGGGGGGGAAGGGGGGAGGCCTTAAAAATGCATAAAAATGTATTGTCGTCCTACGATTTATGGCCAAGATTGTAGGATGAGGCCATTTTTTTATTTCACTCTAATGCCAGGCAATTTGATTCCAATGCGTGTAAAGAATAATGTAGCTAGTGTTAATTTCCATACACATGCTTATAAACTATAATTTTTGAAACCATGCCTGTAAAAAAGGAAAAACTAGCTACTTGGCAAATATACATGTAATTCTAAAATTATTGCTGAGTGCCACCTGCAGGCACAACCTGTACAGGTTTCGGGGGGGGGGGGGGG